GGTTGATCTACTGGGGAGGGGAGGGGGAGAGGGGGAGGGGACAGGCACTGACATACATACACAAATCATACACGCACACGTACATATATACAGAGAGAGGGGGAGGGAGTAGTGAGAGAGAGAGGATGGGGGATAAGGGAGGAAGGAAAAGGCTAATAAACAGACAGACAGACACAAAAAGAGAAAGATATGAAAACTGTCATCTTGAGATATTCTTTGCCGTTTTTACAGCTATTCATCCCAACCAAACTTCGTATCCATTCAACACTGTCCTGAAAAAAAACAACGTGAAACAAGTTTCCAAAAGGAATTTTCTCAAATCTGGAAACCCCATTAAACTCATTCAGCTCATAAATTCTACGGCAGCGCTCCTCCTTATCAACGACTTTCCACCTCCGCCGGGCGCCCGTAGGCCTATCGCCCTAATGACTCCTGTGTTTGCCATTCGACCGCAAGGGAATCGCGGCTCTCCGTCCCTCGTTAGCAGTGCCAGCGTTTATCATCTGTTTAATTACCGGGGACACAAATTACGGGAAAAGTAATCAAAATGGTTAGTAAAACAGGCAGTCATCACGCAGGTTTAGTTAGAATAGTGGATGTAAAATGATTAATTACTTAGAAACTTAAGCCCGCGGTAAGACGGCATATCCTATTATCATTTTGGTTATCATTTACGTCTTAGCAACGTCAAACCACTTTCTGAATCACTCCTTGCAGTTACGTGACTTCACCTAATCTAACCTATCCTGACCCTAACATAATTTGACCTAGAATAATAACCTAACCTAATTTAAACAAACTTCATCTAAATGAACTTGATCGAAGTTAAGCTGCCCTAACATAATCTAACTGTATCTAACCTAGCCTAATCCAGCCTAATCCAACCTTACTAAATTTATTCTAATTTAAACGCCTAATCTGATCTAACTTAATCTAACTAACCTGAACGGTCGCCTAAATGCAAGCCAGCCTGTGCCATGCATTTTCGACGAGTTCGTTAACGTCGAAAGCTGCGGTCGCCAAGGGGCACCGGCTGACCTAGCCTGGAAGGAGGGACGGAGGACGCTGACCTGCCTCCCCAAGCAGTCGCACGATGTTAAAAAGGTCTAAATATGTCAGTAAGGAAATGAAATAAACATTCTCGGTCAATTCACATTCTTCAATTCATATTTCAGACTGAATTAAAGATGCTTCCTCTTTCCCAAGCAGCCATAGAAACTTCTAAAAAAAAAAAAAAAAAAAAAAAGATTTAGATATGTGAGTAAAGAAAAAACATTTTCGTCTTTCCTCACATGTAATATTTCCTTAAATTAACATTTTAGATTGGATTAACCTGCTCCTTTTCTCGGAAGCGTCTCCTTTGCAGCAAATCAGGGTAGAAGATGATGTGCAACCTGCGCCTCTAATTACAGCGATATAAATCTTGCTAATTATGAATATGTATCCGGCAGGTGTCAGCCGGGGGGGGGGGGGGGGGGGGAGGCGCCTGTGCACGGGAAGGCGACGGATGTTTGTTTGTACAGGACTTGCATACATCCACACGTACATGGATGTATCCACACTCGCACATGTATATACACTTAAACATATCACACGTACATACACACATACATATAAATTACTTACATACATACATAATACATACATACATGATACATACACACACACATGCACACGCACGCAAGCACACACACACACACACACATACAAACACAAACACACACATTGATATATATATATATATATATATATATATATATATATATATATATATATATATGTGTGTGTGTGTGTGTGTGTGTGTGTGTGTCATATATATATACACACACACACACACACACACACACATGTATACATATACATACATATGTATATATGTATACACACACACACACACACACACACACACACACACACACACACACATATATATATATATATATATATATATATATATATATATATATATATATGTGTGTGTGTGTGTGTGTGTGTGTGTGTGTGTGTGTGTGTGTGTGTGTGTGTGTGTGTGTGTGTATGTACGTATGTATATAAACATATAAATGTGTGTTTTGCGTTTGTGTGTGTGTGTGTGTGTGTGTGTGTGTGTGTGTGTGTGGTTGTGTGTGTGTTGTGTGTAAATATGTGCGTGTGAAAGTTGTGCTACATGCTTATTCCATTACATAAGATTTCACGCGCTCACCCCCCCCGGCGCGCCTGCAAGGGAGCTCAACGTCCGCGCTGGCGCCGAGCAGCCCGGCGCAAGACTCAAAAGCCGAGCCGCCGAAGCCGATCTCCGCGCGATGGAAACTATCCGGCTCGGAAAAGCAACTTCGGTTCTTGCTTTCCGACTTCGACCTGGACTGCCGTTCAAAGAAGGGATTTTTTTCAACGCAAACTCATAGAAAAAAGAAGTGGAAGATCCATGAGATATGAAACCTCACTCTGAACCTTGACGTCGACTCTTCAATGATTCGAAATTTATCTATTGTACGTGTTCTACTTCTAATCCACAGTCTGCACTGTAATCAAATTTGGATTTGAGTAAATCACTACGTTATTTCGAGCATAAATAAGATGAGAATGATGTCTGGTTACTGATGAACGTTCAAATACCTGTATTGGACTCACCTCGAACAGGAATGTGTATTATCAAACTTGTGAAAAAGCTTTTTGTCGTCAAAGTAACATCACATTCTGAAAACTTTTGTCGCAGAAGATTAAGGAATCAGGCAGAATTTCCCGGTTTTCCACACATACGCACGCCGCATATCCTCTAAATTCACCTAAGCATTATCGCAACGAACATTAAACTCAGGAGCAGCCCCTCGCCAGCATGGGGTTGATGTGTCAACTATCAACCGATGCCTATTTTTTTGTTTGCATATCGACGTTTTTGTTTTGACTTTCATGATTTCATATCCTTGACCACCATTTTTATCTTTTTTTTTTACGTTTCATCCACTAACTAGCTGACAGATTATTTGCAAAAAACGACCAGCTTTATGCTGCAACATAATGCACAGTGCAACACAGAGTATTGCTGTGATAAAATACAGCCCCAGTGTCGCGGTTCGATCCCCGGACGCCCTCGCCGAAGAGCCACCAGGTGCCGCGGCCTCAACTCCAGCCGAAGCAGCGCCATAACACAGAACACGTCGCTCGCCCTAATGAGCCT